CATGTCAGGTTTTTGGTGGATTTAATTAAGTCTTGGATTGCAGAGTATGAATGTCCTCTTGCAATTTTCAGTTGATATATACTTGTGTAAAGTTTGTGAAGGCAGGAGGAAAGCTTCCGCGATCACCGTCTCCTCTCCGTTCCTCCAAACCCCGCCCCCTCCCTGAAAATAATGAGTGACAGGCTGATAGTGACCCGATAGAAACTTTATTATTCACTTAATCACTGATTGAGATATGATGAAGCTAACCTAATCTCATACATTCATGGGATTTATGTAACAGTAAGACAGAGAATGCAAGTGTGCACCCACATGCACTATTTTTGTTTTTATAATGCTATTGTAAATACTCCTGCTGTGTTCAGACTCAAGTCCTGTGTGTGATGCCACATTCAAGACATTCAGTATCTTTTTTTTAACAGAAGACCGTTGCTAGAAGCTGCAGCTAGACTGCAGAAGCATTCGTTTTTTGTTTTTGAGGATGGAACCATTTTCACACACAGATATAGGGAGGCTAGACCTATACAATTAATTTATTATGGTTTATAATTTAATGTCAAGACGAAGAAGAAGAAGAAAAAGATGGCTGAACAACTGTTCAGTGTTAATCCTGTGGAGATCTCCAAAATAATGTTCAGCTTAGTCTCAGCAAAACTCACAACATTTCTGGAGCCTTGTAGACCCAGAAAACTATAAGAACATTCACCAAGCAGCACTGAAAATGTCTGCTTTATTTGGTTCTGTTCTACATACCTTTGTGAAGCAGCTTTTTCTGACATGAATGAAATCTAAATACAGAACAAGACCGACTGATGAACATTTAAATGACTCTATTAAGTGAACCTAAGTGGGTCCAGCATACACCTCTATGGTGGACTGCATGCAGTGCCATTCATCTCACTAACAAAAGAGTGAAATGCTTGTAAGGTGGTGATTAAGGACACTTATGTGAATGTTCAGTGATGTACTTATTATGTGGGCCATAATAATATGTGAGAAATCTTCGTTTTCTTGGACCTTATTTTTGATAAGCTTTAGGTATTGCAATTTCACACGTGTACAAAAGTATAGCTTAATTCAACTGATGAGGGCTATGTGAATAAATGTAAGCGATGTGATGCAAGTAGCTCTTGGCCACTTTCATTTTTTGAAAGTAGCTCTCAGATGAAGAAAGGTTGGAGACCCCTGACATAATGCATGTTTTTTGCTATCTTTGATGAATGATAAAAGGGTCATTCCAGAATTGGAGGACAATTTAGACACCAACATTTTTGAAAAATGAACCTTTCATTTTATTATTTTTTGTTATGTATTTAGGAAAAACAGATAATAAACCATAAAAAAAAGTGATTTGCCCAGCTAAGGCATCAAATGTATATTTTCCAATGAAGAATTAACCCTGTTACTCTAAATATAGTAACAGGGTTGCAAGTAACAGGGTTGAAAATCAATGCTAATTTTAGCTTTAACCTCAGGAATTAATGCTAGCTGCACAATGTAATGCTATTGTCAAGGAATGGACACACTTTATATTATATTTATATTTATATATATTTAACAAAAGAAAGATACATTTGAAATTAATTTGTTTTTGTCTCATAATTTGAGTAACAGGGTTGCGTTTGTATGAGTGCCACACTCCTTCAAGAGTGACAAGATTGGAAATATATTACAAATAAAAGAGAGGACTTAGTTTTGGTCTACCCATGGTAGTAGCACATGGCTTGCTGATGTCCTTTCCACTGTGTCATGCGACAAACAGTTTTTTCACTTCCTCTGCCAAGCTAAAAAGGTTTCGGTAGGGTTGCGCGCATGTTGAGGGACACACCTTCTGTGCAAAATTACTGTTATTTAAAATGTGTTTATGATTTAACAAATTTATTTTACCATTACAAGACACATATATCAATAGAATAATACCAAAAAAGTAAATAAAAACCCTATTTTAAATGTTATAGTTGACATGCAAGTTGGTCACCAAGAAGCTGGGACAAGAGAAAAGGGCAATTTTAGGGGGTGTTCGAGAGCTATTTGATATTTTAAATAATATTTTGAAACCACTTTTTCTACAACTTTATATGCATCTTGTCTCAAGACAAGTATATTTAACACAACAAGTGCATGTCTTAGCTTTTTGGGCGTGGATTATTAGATTTTTTATATGGGGGACATGAAATGTCCTCCAATTCTGGAATGACCCAAAAATAAAATGTTACCATTAGTTCTTAATGAAATTGATACGGTTTGACTTTGTATTAGTAAGCCTACTACTAACAATACATTGAAGTACTTTTACTGTGTATTTTTTGAGAAATACTCTGTCAAAGTCCCCTCCTGAGAACAAAATCAAGCCACTTCTTCTAAGTTTGATGAGGGAAAAAAATATTTTTTGGGTGATTTAATGGGTGATGTAACATTAATGACAGACATAATATGAGGTCCTTGGCACTCTAGAGGGGTCATTTTGTGATCATGGGGCATCACCCTTACAGCATCAGGACAATATCATATGGAGTCAGATACTGGAAGTGTGCTGGAGGCGTTAACTGGGACTGATGGAAGGATGAGGCTGATGAGACTGAAGAATCTGCGAGGAACGAACTAGCGGCAGAGGAATAATTATATATTAAAAGACAGCAGCATCATAAGAGGGCAACCATGTGACAGAGTGTGTTACTTTGCTGAAGGATATTTGTGACCAGCTATCCATTCCAGGCCAGACTCTAAAGACTTTCCAAGGTGTGAAAATGCTGCTGCCGGAGTACTGACTGGAAGTATTGCTGATATCATGTCTGCCATCCTCTTAAAATACTCTGTCCAACAATATCAGTCTCAGGAAGAAATGTTTTTTAACGCTTTTTAAAAGAAAAACATGCATTCTTGTACTCAGGAGGGGACATTGACAGAGGATTACTGGAAAAGTACACAATAAGTACTTCATAGTACTTGTGGGGGTAGTTTCAGTAGTACTGAGTCCAACAGGATCAATCTCACGAAGAACTAATGGCAACAAAAAAGAATTCCCTCATCAAACTTAGCAGAAGTGGCTTGATTTTGTTCTCAGGAGGGGACTTTGACAGAGTATTTCTCAAAAAATACACAGTAAAAGTACTTCAATGTATTGTTAGTAGTAGGCTTACTAATACAAAGTCAAACCGTATCAATTTCATTAAGAACTAATGGTAACATTTTATTTTTATCATTCATCAAAGATAGCAGAAAACATGCATTATGTAGGCTACTATGGAGGGGACTCTGACAGAGGATTACTCACAAAGTGCACAGTAAAGTACTTCATTTTATTTCTGGTTGCAGTCAACTAGTACCGAGTCCAACAGTATCAGTTTTATTAAGAACTTGTGGTAAAAAATATTTGTATCACTCATTGAATATAGCAGGAATAAAAATGAAAAGCAGCTGATTGACCGAGTGCAGAATCGCTGTATGGCGGACTGGGACTACAAATCAGCCCGGGACTCTCGACCGGCCCACTTCGGTACCGCCGGCCCACCTCGGTACCGCAAGTAAGCGGCCCACCTCGGTGGTGCCACAAGTAAATACCGCGAGGAAATTGTCGACGGGGGGGAGGGGGGGTGAGCAGTGACTTATCCCGGCCCACTTCAGTACCGGCCCATCGGGATTCGTCCCGAACGTCCCCTGGCTGTATATATAGTTTAAATCTCCTTAGTTACAATGTTGTCCATTTTAGACAAAGGCTTATTATATTTACAGCCCCTAATAAAATTTATTTTCTGGGCTCAATATGTGTCTTGGCTGTTTTCGTTGTGATCGCTAAATTCACCTTGTTTATAATATTATCACTATAACACCTGTCATCAGACTGACAAGGGCTGTTCCATGCTCTGCTCAACCTCCCGTCTTCCCAATGGACTCAGTAGCGCCCCCTGCTGCCGTGTAGCATGTGTGAGTGAGCATGTGTGACTGTGTATGAGCCAGCCAAGGCGGAATATTACTGCCAAAAGTCACGTGACTCACTCACGTATATTGTGTATTCTGCCGTGAGAAGAAAAAGTTTTGTACTTGTAAAAAAAAGTTTTGTAGTTGTAAAACAAAGTGTTGTAGTTGTAAAACAAATTTGTGCACTTGTAAAAAAAAGTTGTGTACTTGTAAAACCTAAGCTGAATTTGTCTCTGAAACATGATTTATTAGAAAAATATTATGTGTTTGTTTGATAGATACGTTTTTTCTTTGCAAAACTAAATGCATTAGTTTGTAGATGGTGTTTTGTATTTGCAAACCACATTGTGTTTGTTAGTGAATCATAAGGCATTTGTAAAACCTGTTTAGTTTGTTTGTGGAGTTATGGCAGGAAATTAGCTCCATAGAGTGTGTAGGGGTAGGGTGTAGGGCGTGGTTTGGGATTGGGCCTTTGTGTCCCTTTGACATCTGCTCTTCCTGTCACAAAACAGAGATGATGTGTGTGGTTCTTTTATTTATTTATGTTTTATTATTTATTCTACTATTTCACAATTAGACAGTTTACACATCCAAAAAACAAACAAAGGTTAGTAGAAGCAGGAGGCAGAAAGCAGAGTTTATACAGAGGTCGCCCTCCTGTTGCAGGATAAAGTAAAAAAAGATAATTCCGTAATTCAATACTCACACAGATAAACACAATTCTAAATATATATACACATGTACATACATACACCCATTTGCAGGGTGAAAATAAAATAATTAATTAAACAAAAAATTCCTACAAGTCCATGTTCAGATAACAAGACAGTTTCATTTCTCATCCTATTTTTACGTAAACTGATAATTAAGATAATCATGATAATAGTCATTGTTATAGTATTTATAATTATAATTAATATTATTATCACTATTTCCATTATCATATAATCATATCAACTTTTTTTAGTCTATTTGTAAGTTAATCCAATGACCGGATAACGATACAAAAAAGTGAGGGTTTGACAGAGAGAAAGGATGTCTGTCATCTGATACTGGCGCATTGATGCAACTTATAATGCATCCTTTGTTTGGGCCATAGCCAGCACTGGTTTTACGGAAGCATAAAGCAAACAACTCCTGATCCAAATCAGAGAAGTACATTCAAACCTGCCTCTTGATGATTCATGCAGACACTCCAGTGGTGCACATATTTGAAGGTGAGCTACTTTTAATAGCGTTATTGTAGACGTGTTGGAATTCTCTTTGAGTGTTTCACGGGACCAGAGAGGGACCTTGGAAGAGAAAGTGGTAAGAATTCATGTTTCTATAAAATAACCTTGAACAATGATCTAATACAAACGTTATCTTTGTGTTTTAGTCACATACAGAATCACAGGTATTTCTACATTATATTCCATCATGACTTTTTTTTAAATAAATAAGGGAAGGGAACTGTAGCTTATTTTTCTAATCCAATTTTTATATTTTTTGCTGTATCATGGTAGCACTCGATGGGCAACTGATAAAGAATTGTACTTTTTAAAATTCCATTTGTCTATTTATTGTGTAAAGCAAGAATTTACAAAAGAAAACATTTTAAGTGAAACGTATTCGACGACAAAATACACGTTTGGTCTAGTTTTCCCAGATGTATTTGGCTGATTTCAGGAATGTATAAAAGCGCCTCCATTTCAGGTTATCACCTAAGGCAGAAGTAGTGTGTGTGTGCGTGTGTGTGTGTGATTATTTTTTTCTGTTACACTGTCTTTAGAGAAAAAAGTCCTCAACGTTTCAAGTTGAACATTTTCTTTTATATATCTTCTCGACTCAACACAAAAGGGTTCAAAAGTGCTTTGAAATATTTGTGTCATGTTATAATACAGCAGAGACGTGTGTGTGTACCCACATATAGCATTTGTCTACATATATTAATATTTACTATAAATTGTACACTAGTCCCTTAAATACCAATACTAAAACCAAGAGTACTTAAATGCAGAGGCTATTTTGTAATATTATGAATATATATATTTTATTGTGCTTTGTTAACGTGTGGTTTTCCTTAGCTCTAACATTACGATTTGAAAGGCAAAATAAACTCTGACAAAAGAAGAAGAAAAAAAAAGGAAATAACGTTTTCCTAAAAGCAGAAGAGATATAAACTTTACTTTATTTTCATTACCATAAAGAGAGTAGGCGTTATTTATACTGGGGACGGTGCTGTCATTTCTCCACCACTTTTGGAAATGGCCAATTTTGTTAGAAATGTTCTGAAAATAGCACAAAGAATTGTACGCTTTGACAGAGGCTGCACAAGAGGACATCTGGAGGACTGTCCTCACTTTCTGGGCGTATGTCTGTTAACCCAACACGTTAAATATTAGTAATAAAGGAATAGAGTATAGCTTTGCAGCAGCGTATATGCTTACAACAAAAGGTTTAGTAAGCATTGTTTACGGGTGGGGGGGGGGGGGTGCTTAATGCAGTTTTATTTTTATATATAAGAAAGTGTCCCCACCACTTTTTCGAACAAAGTGCATACACCCTTCATAACATTTAAATTAAAAGCCACGCCTTGATGCTTTGTGAAACTGTGCACAAAAGGCCAGGGTGTGTTTTGGCAACATGGGTAACATCAACATGAAGGTCATGGACATTTCCCCCACCTTGGTGAACAGAATGTTCTGGTTTTAGTTGTTGTGACGTGCCCCTATCCTGTTCTTTTCTCTTGTCCTTTGTCTGACTGCAGATAATCAAACACATCCCGGCCGCATGAGAAACATCATACAAACCAGACTGATGGCATTTTGCCATAAAACTTTACCTAATTTAGTTCTCGTCAAACAGGTCTGCAGACATTTGAAGGGTTGGCTACGTTTGGTTTAGTTTTTCTAGATTTGTTTTGGCTTATTTTAGTCATTTCTAAAACCCAATATACTGTAGATAACATACTGCGTAAGCATATTTGTCTTATATAGTTATCATCAAATATTTATTGAAATGCTAAAGCTGCCGTGATGTGGAAAAAACAGACAAACAGGTGAATGTTGCTCAGTGTTGCGGTAATTCATTCTCTCTCAATTTTATTATATGGTTATATGCTATGACTCAAATAAGTCTATAATATCAATAACAATCTGTATATAATAACAATAACAATCTGTATATATACATACATATATATATATATATATATATATATATATATATATATATATATACTCTGGGAGAACTGGTTTTATGGGGAGCCCAGTCTCCATTTGAAGTTTCTATTTCCTTGTACATTGAGAAGAGAAACTGGGCATGTTTCTATAATATCACTGTGGTGGAAATTCCACACTTAATCACCTTTTGGTAAGAAAGGAACAAATCTACAAGTTTAAACCAAGGTTGTGTTGTTTAATGAAAAGATAAAGCATTTAACAGAATCTATTTCCAGCTTGAAGGACAGATAACCCTGCACCAATGTGTGCTACAGAGATCTGAACAGAAAAGCAAGCACTTTATTCTGGAAAAGAGGAAAAGGGAAGGTCTCAGCCAATCAATTTACATTAGAGGCTATTGAAATGTTGGCCAGATGAGAAAAGTACATGGTAATTACAAACCTAACATCAATATGATAACTTGATAACAATGGTCAACAGCTAAACAGTCTAAATTGACTTGTGATATATTTCTACAATAATAACAATCAAATGCTTTTTTCACTGGCGTCAGAAATTCCTCCTTGAATGACCCTGACACACCACAGTTCAGGAACTTTTAACTTTTAAATTGATTACCTGTGTCTTTGGTCATGGTCTATATTTTTTCTCTCTTCAGATGGCTGTTGGTAACAGAGGAACTCTTCAAACTGCATTTATTGGGTGTGTGTTGGTGGCCTGTGTATTATTATCATACACATATTATGAATATCATCATCATACAATCCATAATGTTCTAAAAGAAGTCTTCAAACAACGTAGTCCAATGCCTCCACAAACAAAGAGGTAAAGTGTGTGTTTGTGTGTGTGCGTGTGTGTGTGTGTGTGTGTGTGTGTGTGTGTGTGTGTGTGTGTGTGTGTGTGTGTGTGTGTGTGTGTGTGTGTGTGTGTGTGTGTGTGTGTGTATCGCATAAGGCTGTACTTGGCACTATGACTGATTCGTTGTAAGCATGTAAATGTCTCATGATGTCATAAGTCCTGTTTTCATATATAAATAATCAGGACAAATGCACAAAAGACTTGTGTTTGTGCAGAGCCAATGACAGCCAATGTTAGATATGTCCAAAACGATGAGAGCCAATGTGTCCTATGTAAGGCTTTCCACAAATGATGGGGCGCGAGAGGTGGGCGGTACATCAGTTTTATTTCCATCACCTGTGTCTCATTCTGCAAAACGAGAACTGCATCTGTGAGGTTTAACTCTCTGTACAGGCTGCCAATTGAGTCACAAAAACGACATGTAAAGTTCAGATTAAAGGAAGTCTGAGTTTAAAGATTGGGTGTTGTCCAGGTCAGATGTAGGGGGTACAAAGTTGGGAAGGGTACATTGCCCCCTCCACTTCCCCTGGTTCCCGAAAAACCTTTCTTTTTCACCCTAATTACATAACGTGGTTACAATAGGCGCTTTCACACCAAGTACTTTGCCATACTTAGTTCATCAGAACTTAGTTCATCAGAACTCTTTAGTTCTGATGAACTAAGTCCCCGGCCGGAAGTCCCCGGAGTTGGGGACCTTCAGAGTAAATCGCCAGAAACGCTGACACCTCCTCATCTCCACCGCTCCCATGTTTTCTTTTGTGTTGCCATAAGTTAGTCTCTCTCCGTTTGTGCACTGGGCTAATGCTAATGCTAATAATGCTAATGCGAGGAAAATAAAATGGCGACTTCACAAATCCTTTTGGGAGTTTTACGGGGCGTGGTTTGCAATCCACCTAGCCAATCAGAAATGGGAACCTTTTTCTCCCATGAAAGGGAGTACCTCTCTAGCAGGGACTGAAAAGGGGGTGAAAAGGTTCTTATGAACTAAGACCCCGTTTACACGAGGACGATACGGGTTGTATCTGCAGCATAGTTTCTCTTGCGTATAGCCCTTTCGTTTACACAAGGCCATAATAAAACGATAGAAACGGACCCCGCAAACGATAACGGGTCCCAAGGTGGATAGATCTGCAAACGGAACGCTCTGGGGGGTCCAAACCAGTTTCAAAACAGGTTCGGGTGTGGTCAGAGGACAGCACAGCTGCACTCAGAGACTGCTTTGACACTACAGACTGGGACATGTTCAAGCAGGCAGCCACATACAACCATCACACCGACATACAAGAATACACAGAGACAGTCACGGGCTACATCACCAAATGCATTGACGATGTGACACAAAACAGAGCCATCATCATCCGGGCTAACCAGAAGCCATGGCTGACAGGGGAGGTCCACACGCTGCTGAAGGCCCGCAACATCGCCTTCAGAGCTGGAGATCCAGCTGGGCTGAAAGCAGCCAGGGCTGACCTGTCCCGTGGCATCAGGAAAGCAAAACAAGAATACACCCGAGAAATTACAGGACATTTCAAGGATAGCGGGGACTCACGGAGCCTGTGGCAGGGCATAAGGACCCTAACGGACTACAAACTACCGCCACAGACCTGTGACAGTAATACCTCCCTGCTCAACAACCTCAACGGCTTCTTTGCACGTTGTGAAGCACAGAACAACACACCTGCGCAGAAAACCACCGCCCCCACCGACGACCAGGCTTTGCGTCTTTCACCAGCCAGTGTGAGGAGCACACTGCTGAGGATTAACCCCCGCAAAGCTGCAGGACCTGACAACATTCCTGGTCGTGTGCTGAAGGATTGCGCGGAAGAGCTCACAGATGTCCTCACAGACATTTTTAACATCTCCCTGAGCCAGGCTGTTGTTCCCTCGTGCTTCAAGGAAACCACCATCATTCCAGTGCCAAAGAAGTCATCTCCATCCGGCTTCAACGACTACCGCCCCGTCGCACTAACTTCCACCATCATGAAGTGCTTCGAAAGGCTGGTCATGAAGCAGATCAAATCCACCCTCCCCCATCGCTGGACCCGTTTCAGTTTGCCTACCGAGCTAAACGGTCCACAGAGGATGCAATCTCCTCCGCTCTCCACCTAGCCCTCACACACCTGGACACTAACACTAAGGCTAAGACTAAGACTAAGGACCCATATGTCAGAATGCTATTCATAGACTTCAGCTCAGCATTCAACACCATCATCCCCCAGCAGCTTGTACAAAAACTTACAGACCTGGGCCTCAGCCCCTCTCTCTGCAACTGGTTGCTGGACTTCCTCACAGAGAGACCACAAGCTGTACGGGTCAACAACAACACCTCAGACACCCTCATACTGAGCACGGGGGCCCCCCAAGGATGTGTGCTCAGCCCCCTTCTCTTCACTCTGCTGACGACTGCAAACCCATCTTCAGCACCAACCACATCGTGAAGTTTGCAGACGACACTACTGTGGTGGGTCTCATCAGCAACAACGATGAGACTAACTACAGGAAGGAAGTGAACCAGCTGGCCCTGTGGTCCCAAAACAACAACCTCTTCCTCAACCTGGAGAAAACAAAGTAGATAGTTGTTGACTTCAGGAGAACCCACCGTCGACCCCCTCTCCCCCTGACCATCAACGGCGCTGCTGTGAGGCAGGTGACCAGCACCAAATTCCTTGGGGTGACCATCACTGATGACCTCACCTGGAAAAACAACACCACCGCACTAGCGAGGAAAGCCCAGCAGCGCCTGTACTTCATCCGGAAGCTCAAGCGAGCCGGAGCATCACCCCCCATCATGCTGTCCTTCTACCGAGGCGCCACCGAGAGCATCTTCAGCAGCTGTATCACGCTGTGGTTCGGAAGCTGCACCGCCGCCAACCGCAAGAGCCTGCAGCGCATAGTGAACTCTGCCCAGAGGATCATCGGTGCCTCACTCCCCTCACTACAGGACATATACAACACCCGCCTCACCCGCAAAGCACTCAGCATTGTGGGTGACTCCACCCACCCCTCCAACAGCCTCTTCAGCCTCCTGCCTTCAGGAAGAAGGTTCCTCAGCCTCAGCTCGCGCACCTCCAGGCTGGGCAACAGCTTCCTCCACCAGGCGGTCAGGATGCTGAACCTTCTCCCCTCCCTCCCCCTCTCTGACATCTCTCCCCTGAACACTCCACCCTGCCTCCGACCTTTCTCCCCTGCCCCAAATGGTCCTGGACTCTAACCCCCCACACACACACACACACACACACACACACACACACACACACACACACACACACACACACACACACACACACACACACACACACACACACACCACACACACACACACACACACACACACACACACACACACACACACACACACACACACACACACACACACACACACATTATTAACATTTTAAACTGTATACCCCGGTTATCTAGGCCCTTTGTTTTGTTTAATGTATACCATGTTTATCTAGGCCCTTTTTGTTTTTTGTTTGATGTATATATGTCTCACTGTAGGACTGCGGGAAACGATATTTCGATATTTCTGGATGTACAACATGTAGAATTCTTGACAATAAAGCTGACTTTGACTTTGACTTTGATAAGAGGCACTTCTGAAATTGCTCACTTTTTAACAGAGGTTGTCAAATGGTTTAAACTGTTGTTCTTGACTGGTAAAATGAAAAAGAAGTAAACTGAGTTTTCACTTCAGCACTTCCATGTAACACCCACCTTTACAGATTGCTGCCACCGAGACATCTTCCCCCACCTGGTCCATGCACATGTGCCAAATCTGCAATAATCCTTAAAAACTCTCTGTTTGATGCTGAGTCTGAGGAGGTGGAGCAACGCCGACATAAGGAGTTCCAACAACACAAAGCCAGGTTGGCATGGGCATCGACATATAATTATAGTTTAAAATATCCAGCATCTTTGCACAGCACCTTTTTGATTTATGTTTTATGACTCTGACTCATCCTCACTAACCCTCCTATCTCCCCACCAGGACTGAGTCAGTGTTATCCACACGGCTGTATGCTCCGTCTAACTCTCCCCTGCAGTACCCTATCCAGGGTTTCAAAGTACGACCTATGACCTCAACTTTCATCCCAGGTATGCTACACCGTACGGTATGTCCTTTCATTACTCTGCATTATGACCAGTGCTTGAATTGGGCCGGTACTCACTGGTACGCAGTACCGGCACTTCTGATTTGTACCCATCTGGTACCGTTACTTCTTACTGAGTACCGGCACGGTGCCGGTACGGCGGTACTCAGTACTCAGTAGATGCGTTATGAGGTGCCGCCGCCGCCGCTTTGCCCGCCTCGCCCCCGGAGCAGCAGTCTTCGTCGCCCCAAACACCGCCACCCCTCGGCGGCCCACAAGTGCCAGAGGACCTCGGCAAAACAGAGCCTGCCCAGGTATATTTAAACAAGTTCCCAACTCGCGTGTACAGTGGGGTAAGGCGCTCATTTTGCAACTCATGGTTCAAAAACAGAGATTGGCTGGAATTTCCAGTAAAAAAGATGCCATCTTCTGCTATGCCTGTAGACATTTCGGTTCAAATACATCTAACTCAGATGCCTTCACCACAATTGTACCAGAGTACCAAACGCTGTCTCCTGGTACTCATCTGAGTAACTCACTAAAAATGAAATACTATATGACAGTAAAACAAGAATAGAGTTTAAAAGGGGAGTGATTTGTAAATATCCATAAAGAAATAGAAAAATCTGTTTACAGTTCTGTTTCATATGGATGTTGAGAGATGTATCCATAGATCTCTTAATTTTTCTCTCAAAGTGCACCAGATTTATGCATTTAACTTCAATATTTAAAAAAAAATCTTGTGTTAGATCCACTCCCCACTTATAAAAATAGCACTTTACCCCTGCACCCCCTCTAATCTCAGATGCACCCTGAGTCATTTTGTTTAAGTACAGTGAGCCTTTCTAAAATATACAGTAAAGAGACAAACCCACCAGCATTATAGGATATACTATATGACAAATTCTTGATTTTGGGCTGTATAAATAAATTGACTTGAAACAGTTGCTGATTTAGAGTACTGGCACCTTTTTTATTCCAATTCAAGCACTGATTATGACACAACAGAAGGCTGTGTTGGGTGAATCGTGGCAAAATACAATACAAAAATTAAAGCTGCGAGTATTGATGAGCGGATCTTCGAACGATCTGCGCAGGTTCGCTGCATCATTATCAGACCTGTGAAGTTCTGGGCTGTTTGGAGCATTTTTACCAGAGTTATTCTAAAATCGTGTTTTATGGCGAGCATTGTGTTTCCTTGGCAATGGCATTTGACAACATTTTTAAACTGACACTTAAGGCACGGACACACCAGGCCGATCATCGGCGTCGGTGGGCGTCAGGCCGACGATGAGCGTCGACACGCCCTACTCAGATTGGTGTGTCCCGCACCGTCGGGTCTTTTCAGCCGTGCCGACGCCTTTTCGGCCAAAAACCGGGCAGTCGGCCAAAGGCAGTCGGCAAAACACGCTATTTGTTGTTTGTTTATATCACGCAGTCTGTTCTTCTTCTCTTGGTTATCACACAATCTGTCTTCCGGTTGTTGCCTCTTTTGAATGACGAATACACACTACCGCCGCCTGCTGGTAAGGAGAGTTATTGCCACTTGTACGTGCTTCTTGGCTGTCGGCTAAAGTCTTTGCGGTGTGTTCCAGTGCGACACATGGCCAAAACGCAGAGACGCGAGGCGACGCAACAGTCGGGGTCCGTCTGTGTCAGTTCTTTGGGTTCAGATTGGTGTGTCCGGGCCTTTAGACGTTGTCAGGGCTGGACTGTTAGCACAAATGTGAAGGTTGGGGCCTATTTGAGCATTTTCATAGGAGTTATAGCAACATCGTGTTTTATTGTGAGAAATGTGTTGCAATGGCAACAGCGTTTAAACGAAAACTCACAAGTGGCACAAAAACATGATGAGGGCCGGACCATTAACCATCATCTGAAGTCTGGTGGCGTTTGGACCATTTTCCTTTGAGTTACGACAACATCGTGTTTTATGGCGAGGGAAGCGTTGCTATGGAAACGCCATATGATGAAACCTTAGATTTGGCGTAGAGCTGTTCAGGGCCGCAGTGTTAACCATCATGTGACGTTTGGGGGCGTTCGGAGCATGTCAGTTGGAGTTATGACATCACTGTGTTCCATGGCGAGGGATCGCCTAGCATCGAGCAAACTTGAAAATGGGCACCACTTCGTGGAAACGCCGTGTAGTGAAAAGTTTAGATTTTAGATAACTTTTCATTCCCCTGGTCCCAAGACGCTATTTTCAAAATTTGGAGTCGATCGTAACGCCAAATTCAAAATGGCCAACTTCCTGTACGTTTTTGTATACACCTTTGCAAATTTCTTTCATTTATGCGAAAGTGAAAGTGGGGGGGTTCACGTTCAAAACGGAAGTGGGCGTGGCTTGCGCAATTTTTTACGCACATTTCTGGAACCCATTACATGTGTCTATTTTCACAATTTCTTACGCGTGTGAACAATTTGGTCAGTTTTCATATATGTTGCGGGGGTCAAAAGTGCGTTCAAAGAGGAAAAATAATAATCATAATAATCCTATCGATATCAATAATGTAGGGAGCTACCTGCTGTCATGATTTCGGCGCTTTTTTCTGTGCTTTTGCCCATCGTTTGTACTGTTTTGTGTGTTTTTGGCAGTTTTGTTTGCAATAGGGTCTTTGCCGACCTCTGGTCTCAGACCCTAAAAATGATCAGGAACTAGTGAGGCAGGAAGCTGGATTGTGATTTTTGGCTTGGTTTGATCACGCCCTGATATATTTGCATTATAAAGTTATGTACAGGTTATGTGAGTCAACAAAGCCAGAGGTGAATGAGTGCACTTATGTAACTGGCTGGAAGAGAACTCTCTGCTCCATAGTTTCTCTTGAAATAAAACCATGTTGTACATTTTACTCATACATAATCTGTTTCATATTTAATACTCCATATTTCATATATTTTGAATATATATATATATATATATATTTGTATATATATATAATATCTGCATGTATATTTTCTATTTCGACATGTATATTTTCTATTTTCTATTTTATTTTATTTTATTTCTATTCTTGTATATTTTGTAGTTTTGTTTTATTGTAAAATGCCTTTTATGCTGCTGTAACAAAAACAATTTCCCAATTAGGGATCAATAAAGTACGATCTATCTATCTATCTATCTAACTGGAGAATATGAAAGCACATTTAATTTTCATTTCAGGTCTAGCACTGCATGCACAACAAAGAAGCACCTACACGGTTGGTGTGATCCCACAGATACAGCTGATCTACTTCAGAGAAACCTGGGCTAGTGTTTGGCCGGTTCATACAAGATGGCTGCTGAGAGTTTGAACATATAATTTAAAAACATGTAATATGTATAAAACATGCCACATGTAGAAAACATTGATGGTATTATTATTTTGCACTTGATTTTGAAGTGAGGACGAAACAGAAAACAATACCGTTTGATGACGAAGGCAAATATGTGTCATATTAGAGTCACATGAAAATGATTTATGTATTCATAGAAACGATCAGATTGTACAGCAGCCATCTTGGTGTAGTTCTTGGGCAAAGGGACTGAAACCTAACTGAAAATACCGGGTACAGGTCCTGAAACTGAGAATCTTTGAAAGCCTATATTCATTGGATTTTGAATTCAATTATTTTGTAATTCTTCATCTTATGCCAAAAGTCTTATTGTTCCATAATTGTATTGTTGCCATATTGCTGGGAAAACATTTATTTCCCCTGAACATCCAAAGTTAAAGCTAATGAATATTATGAAAGAGACTTCCCAATCTCCATGGTCTTTCAAACATTCTTTACCAATTGGACTGACTTTAGGGGGTGTAGCTGTTGATTTCGACGCTGTGTGAAATGGCTTTCTTTAATATCTATAACATTAATAAATTATAAAAAGTGAACAAATGCATTCAAAAACAAATTGTTTCTGAAATCCTGTTGCCCAACCTGAACTTTTGTCAGACTTCTAACTTTTTCACAAAATCTCAAAATACAGATTTTTTTCTCAAAATTCCGACTTTTTCTGAACATCTTAAAATCGACTTCATTCTGAAAATCGCAGAATTCAGACTATTTCTCAAAACTTTGACTTAAAATGTAGACTTTTATCTTCAAATTCTGACTTTTTTGTAAAAATCTCAAAGATTCAACTTTTTTCAGAAATGTAACACTTTTTCAGAAAATCTAAAAATATATATTTTTATTTAAAGAAAATCTCGGAATTCTGACAGAAATGTCTCATTTTCTGACTTCGTTCTAAAAATGTGGACTTCCTTTCAGAAATGTCTAGGGATTCTGACTTTTCCTCACAATTCTGATTTTTGAAATTTTTAATAAAAATCAGGGCAACAGTTTCTGCACACCAGCATTGAACAAAGAGTCCTTGCAATATATAAAGTTCACATTGGATTTGATCATTATCTGATGAAAAGCACAGGTTACCCGAAATCCTTTGCAATGAAATGCTAACGTTTTTCTGAGTAGGACGCAAAATAATTGATCTTTATTTTTTCAGCCCATCTATTTTTCCAAACTTTTTCTTCCTTTCCTGTTTATCTTGATGTATAAATTAGAGATTAATGGTACATTTTCTTTATTGGTTAAAATAAATGATGAAGATTGACGATTTACTGAGGTGTGTCGACTCTAGGTCTTTTTGGAAGTGTCCAAAGGAGTCCTGAAAACAGTGATTCCAGCTGGAGGAGCACAGGTCCATGGTGAGATTTAACTAAATCTGACTGGTTAAACAAATAAACAAACAATATCTGACAATGGTTGACGTTCTGCATTTACTTAAGTAACTTTTCAGACCAGATTTAAAGTAGGATCAAGTGCATCATTGCTAAATTCTGTGCACTGTCTGACAGTTAGGAAGCCGTACCAGTGATTGTTTTTTAAGAGGCATCTGAATGTAGCCGTAGCGTATGGCATAGCCACTCAATAATTCAAAATAACCGAATACAAATATTATTGTAGTTATATAACGAAGCATCATTCATTTTTGTCCATGTGTTCTCTCTTTAATATTGTGGAAAAACACAACAGGTAATGGTGAGAGCCGACTGATGATGGAGTCCAGCAGCCTGGAGACCCTCAATGAGCTGCTGGCTGATGTGACCTATACCAGCACTGTTTACCACATACACACCGGAGACCTCGGTATGCATTTGAGACATTACAAATAATCGTTATTTAGAAAAATGTTCTTTGCAGAAAGGAAACTCACAAAATAACATGCATAAAACCTATTAGACAAAATGAAATCAAAAATAATTGCAAAATCATAAAGTTATCAATGCTTTGTACAGGTTTGTTTTTATAAATGTTTGTTTCCGTGTGTGTTTAATCTAGAGACTTTTAAATGTGAAAGTGTGCCCACTAATTGCTTTTACTACCTAATGTATTATCAGTGAGACACAGCTTAGCTTTCCTCTTCTGTTCTCAGCATCCTTCCAGTTTGAGGACCATGAAGGTGTGTTTCCCATTACCATCAAACAGCCTCAACCTCCAGTCCTGTACGACATGGGAACAGGTGGGAGTTCACTCACCGTGGGGATAAAACACTAATTTATTTATGGCAGGAAGCAGCTGCTTCTCTTCTTTGTGGGATATACATTCAAGCATCAATCAGTGAGCCATATAAAAGCTAAAATGCTGTATAGTATATTCCGGACTACTTCACCAATCCTGTTAATGTTGACCAATGTAAAATCAGTTACCGTTGAAATAATCCATACCTAATTCAAGACACAAATTGAATAGATCTGTCAGGTCTGAACACGTAAACAGAACAGCCATGAGCTAACAGCATGGACAGTGGAACTCATGATGTCTTCATGTGTCTTTTCTTGAAAAAACTCTTCTTCTTTTTATTTCAGATATCAACTCTCAAGTCACCATCACCACAAAGACGTTCCTGCGCTACCCAGAACTCAATCGGTTGTTGAAAAGCATCCGGCAGTTCTATAAAGACATAGAAGTCATCATCGCAGATGACAGCTTTGTAACAGAGAAAATTACTGGTGGAGATCATACCAAACATTTCATCATGCCTCCAGCACAGGTACATTTAAAAGTGGCACTATACAACACAAATGAGCATTACATGGAATTTGGCTTTAGAAAATAGAAAAGGCAGTGAGTTAAAGGTAGGGTAGGTAAGTTTGAGAAACCGGCTCGAGATACACTTTTTGTTATATTCCATGGAATGCTCTTAACATCCCGATAGCAATGAATATCTTAAGTGCTTTGACAACATATCCATAAAAAATGTCATCTGTGGAAGCCGTAGTACTGTAAAAAGCACGACCAATCATTTTAGCCGGCCTGGCTAAAATAACTGGATGGCCTACCTGCCTGTCAGCCTTCCATCTGTGCACAAACTTATCTCGTGCCCTCATTGGTCATGTGCGCGTTCGTGTGTGTTGGAGGAGGGGCTCTGTAAGGAAGTGGCAGATTTTCTCCGGTTGTGTATTTTCAAATTCTAGCGATCTCGGGGGCGGGTTCCCCAAACTTACCTACCCTACCTTTAACAAGGGGGGGCATAGGCAACCTGTTTTACCTCAACTGGACCGATTTATCCTCACACAACTTTGCAATATCCCTGGATGTTAGGGGGGTCAGAATTTGGAAAAGGTCCACTGGGCGCCCACTTTCTCCCATCTCAAAACTGTCTCTATTTTCAAGTTATTAACTGACAACGATGGTCCAATCATGAAATCATATTTTCCTCCATCAGGGCTGGTTTGCTGGCAGGAACCTGGCGGTCTCCCAGGTCACCACCAAGTACTTCCTGTGGGTGGACGATGACTTCCAGTTTACCAAGTGGACGAATATCGAAGAGATGGTGAGAGTGATGGAGGCGAACCCTGAACTTGACGTGGTAAGTCAAAGCAAGACACGGCAAGTTTTATTTATATAAAACATGAATAAAAAAAAACATGATGGATATAAATACAAGAATAATTAAAGCTGCGCGCAGCGATGAGCGGTCGTTCGGCGATCCGTGCAGGTTCGCTGTTGTCCGCACGTCGGCGCTTCACGCAGGTGTCTTGAGGACCCAGCCATTGCCAAATTTGGGAAGTTTCGAGCCAATCGGACAATGTCTTTAGGACTTACATCAGTAACATAAGCACTGTGTTTGTTTGCCAGTAATCTGTCGCCATGGCAACTGCATATGATGACACCCCATATTAGGCTTAAATGTCTTGAGGTCCGCATCGTTATCAAACATGTGACATTTTGGGCCGTTAGGAGCATGTTCACTGGAGTTATGGGAAAAACCGTGTTTCACGGCGAGCATTGTGTTTCCATGGCAACGGCATTTGACGAAATCTCAAAACTGACACGTAAATGTCTTCAAGGCTGGGCTGTTAACACACACATAATGTTTGAAAACGTTTTGACCATTTACACAGGAGTCATAGCAACAACGGTGTTATGGCGAGGAATGCCTTGCCATGGCGACGGTGTTTGATGAAAACTCACTGTTTTCATCAAACACCATTGTTGAGGGCCGGACCATAATCCATCATCTGAAGTCTGGGGCTATTGGGAGGATTTTCCGTGTAGTTACGACAACATCATGTTTTATGGCGAGCATTGTGTTCCCATAGCAACGGCCTATGATGACACCCAATAATAAATGTAGAGCTGTTCAGGGTCGGAGTGTTAATGATAGTCTGAAGTCTGGTCCCGTTTGGACCATTTTCCATGGAGTTACAGCGACATCGTGTTTTATGGAGAGGGATGCTTGCTATGGAAATGCCATATGATGAAACCTTAGATTTGGCGTAGAGCTGTTCAGGGCCGCAGTGTTAACCGTCAGCTGGTGTTTGGCAGCGTTCGGAGCATGTCTGTTGGAGTTATGACATCACCGTGTTCCATGGCGAGAGATGGCCTAGCAACTAACTTGAAAATGGGCGCAACATCACCACAACGTCGTGCGTTGAAGTTACGACTTGGATAACTTTTCATCCCCCTGGTCTGGAGATGCTACTTTCAAAATGTTGAGTCGATTGGATAAAATCCCTTGGAGTAGATTGTGAAAGTATTGGACGTGATAAAACGATTTTTTCCAAGGCCAAATTCAAAATGGCCGACTTCCTGTACATTTATAGACCTCCAAGAGGCTTTTTGGTTCGTCTCTGCGCAAATTTGGTTTGTTTACGTGAAAGGGGGGGGAGTTTACGTTAAAAGTGGAAGTGGGCGTGGTTTACCATTCAAACCTTTATAAACCAACAGCAGTATTTTGAAGTCAAGTCTCTGTCCGATAGGAAGTCAATTTAAAGACCTCAGAACTGGAGTGATCCACTTTCTAAGTGTTAGCGGGGACTTGAAGACACCATTACAGTAGTCGAGTCAACTGAAGATGAACGCATGGACAAGTTTTTCCAAATCCTGCAGTCAGAAGTCCTTTATTCGTAGATATATTTCATCAAGTTGCTAGTAGGCTGACTTTGTAACAGTCTTAATGTCACTGTTGAAGAGAGCTAAGCCAGAAGGAAAAGCTGTCAATCTACCGGTCCATCTTCGTTCCTACCCTCACTTGAGGTCATGAAGAGGGGGAGGGCATAACTTTAAGAACAACATTGTGAATTCAAGCTGCTAAAATGGGTTTTCTCCGGACGTTTGCCAATAATATATGCCTAAAAATAGCATAATAGGAGACCTTCAGGGCATCTGGAAGCTTTTTGACATCCTCCTGGATCCTGCTTTTTATATATAGTCACATAATCATTTATCTGTACACACACAACATCTATTGCACTACTTTCTGTAGCTCTCCCCAAGGTTTCTAACATTGTTCCTCGTTAATTGTGGGGTTTCATTTTATAATCAGTTCTCTTGTCTCTCTGTTCCTATCAGCTTGGTGGGAAAGTAAAACAAAGTCAGTTTGACTTCTCTCTCCGCTATGAGGAAGGAGACGAAATGGAAGGTGGCTGCTTGAACAGGACGTTTAAAAGCAGGTTCCACTCTCTTCCTGGTTACCCACAATGCTCAGTGGTCAGTGGGGTGATCAACTTCTTCCTAGCTCGTACAGATGCTGCAAAGAGGGTGAGATTCGACCCTAAGCTCAAGAGGGTAGCACACTCAGGTAGGTCTACACCGGCTTAGCACATAACTTACGGTAGAAATATTTTATACTTCGTCGGATCTGCACAAACTAGATATCATATGAAAGCTGAGATTCCACAGATTCCAATGGTATAAGTATCAAATCAAATCAAATCAAGTTTTATTTATATAGCACATTTTTCAAACGATTTTTGGTCGAGCCAAAGTGCTGTACATATAATAATTACCTTACAGTAAGGACACTTTACAGCAAATACAACAGCACAGTTTGTGCAGAATATCAGTATGAGAAAACGACACCCTCTGTCCTTAGACCCTCCCATCGTACAAGGAAAGACTTTCGGAGAAAACCCACAGTTTAAGGGGAAAAATGGGAGAAACCTCAGGGAGAGCAACAGAGGAGGGATCCCTCTCCCAGGACGGACAGACGTGCAATAGATGCCGTGTGTAAGATATAATACATTTTACAGCGTAGGTAGACCGAATGTTTGGAAATGCATGTGTCTATAATAAGAAGATGAATCCACGTATAATCACTGTGTGACCAAAACTCCAAGCAAAGACAACACACAACTTAACTTTACGGGGCCAAAACGGCAAATACGTCTTACCTTTGTTGTTTTCTGATCAAAGGTTGTGTTCAATGGCATTAAAACACATAAAAACGCCTCTGAAGGTTAATCCAATGTCTCTGTGTCCCTTTGAAATGATTACTGATAATCCATCATGATTCATATTTATGACAATAAGAGTAGTTTTCATATATAGCCGCTATGAGAGCTACGAGAGTGTATGAGAGCTTCCGGTTTTGGGCATGCTGGCTGCGCTTCACTCTCATTCACCAATGGTAATGTTTAGATGGATTTAGGCACTCCCCCTTGATTCTATTGGCTCTAACGGTTCAAATCACCAAAATCGACCAATGGGTTCCAGAGATATGGCAAATACACCCAAATGACCCCAGCGGTGGGTTATTTTTTCTAAACCTCTCTAAAAAGGTCAAATTTCACTTGTTTCGCATCAATCTTGATACAGGGTACTTATTATATGTTATAGTTTGGATTCCTAAAGCTTTTAGTCTACTATCCCATCCTTAAAGGGTGGTCTTCATTACGTATAAGTAATGTTTTTTTTTTGGACGGACATTTAATTTGTTTTACTATTAAAAATAACATTGTTAGAACATTATGCCCTACGCTCTTAAAACGTTTTCAGCTGCAAGTAAGATTTTATGTTGCCAGAATGTTATTATTTTAGAGAAGGATAACATGCTTTATGTTTAAAACATTGTGCAAATGTTCTGTGGTAACAATTTACTACAATATTTTTACATTATTAGGGGGGGGGGGGGGGGGAGAGACATACACAGTAGAAACAAACACATACAAACACTAACAGGGGTTTAAGGGACGGACAGTGATAGTCGGTCCGTTCTTCTATATGTCTGTCTTTGGTTTTCTAAGTGTTATTCGATCCATATGACAATAGAGATATGTGCATAAACAACAAAAACACTTGGGGTATAATGTTCGAACAATGTTATCACCAAACATTTTAAGAATGTTTTTAGAGAACGTTATCCTACCTTTCAGAAGTACAGTACATTCTAGGAACCAAAATAAAACTTCTCGATGAAACCATTCCTAGAACAATGAATGGTAACATTCTCAGAATGTTGTTAGAACCAACAATGTCTAACTGGGAACTCAGACATGCCTACGCAACATGCAATATCATGAATTGCATATGCTTGTTTTTTTTTTAAAAAGGAAAATGTGGCGGCATCAGATTTTTTTTAAACATCCTTTTCAAACAAATGCAACAAGTTTGTATTTTAAAGCGCACTACAAATAAATCTGACGTTGACCATGACCGTGTTAATATTTCGCATCACAGGAACGTTTTATAAAAAAAGAATAATCTCCTGAAAACATTATCCAAATGTTGCTTTCAAAATGTTCTTCATTTGTTATCATGTAACATTGAGGGAACGTTTTATAAAGAACATCTTTAATTAGCTACCCAACAACGTCCAAAACACATCCTTAGAATGTTGCAGGCAAAATGTTCCACCTTTGTTAACATATCACATTAAAGGAACATTTTATAAAAAAACTTTCTGTCATCTCAGGCCTCAATAACATCCTCAAAACATCCTCTGAATGTTGCAGTTAAAACGTTATGTCTTAGTTAACCTTAAACCTTATAGGAACATTGTTTGAAAAAATAAACATCCTAAAAAGGTTCTTTGAACATCAGATTAAAACGTTTCTTTAAAACCTTATTAGAACCTGTAGGTAATGTTAGCCAAAGTTGTGAGAACGTTCCCCGCTAGCTGGGTGAGACCTGAAAAACAGGCTTGGGGCTTAACAGGTTAAAAGGTCCAATGCGAAACGCCACTATGAGACAAAGTACAACGTTTTGGACCAGACTCAAGTCTGAACTGAGGTCACAGGAAATAAGCAGGTTTTAATTTGTGGCTAGATCTAAGTTCTCTCACTGAACAGAAGAAAGTGGGGGGTGGGATATAAGAGGGACAGAAAGAGAGACTGTTTAATTGTTAAGATGTGTTGAGACTGATATATTCTAAAGTTATCAAGATGTGAAGCAGTTAAAGGAAAAGAGAAACTCAAGCTGCTGCTACTTCATTTTATTTTTCAAAAATCAAGCACTTTAATTTAAAAAGCACAATTTTCCAAAAGCTATTTTATTTATTTCCTCTATTTTATTTTTAAATGCAGCCCGAGAACATCATTATACATATCTACAGTATTATATTTCTGTATAGTTCAATGTTAAATATTGTCTAAATGTTTTTTAATTGTACTTTCTTTGTTTGATTTGACAGTCAGTTGTTGATTACATGTTTATACAGCTATCAGGCTACTTATATCACACTAATTCATAGATGAAGTTAGACATTATGAAGTTATGGACCTTTGCTTGAGGAATTATTTTCTAATCGGACCTTGTTGAATTGTAATTGAATACCCCTGGTCTAGACGGTTAGTAGTGGCAAGAAGTCCACACTCTTTCAGTTTTTACTGTCCTTGATAGAGGTATGCCTTTTTCCAAATGTCTGTCTTTTCTTCCAGAGTTCTTCATCGATGGCCTGGGCTCCTTAATGGTGGCAACATGTGGCCATGTGTCCATTGGCCATCAGGGCAATAAGAAACAAAAGACGAACTACAGCAGGTTCAGGCACCCTGGGAAGGCTGATCTAAACTCAAAGCTTCGTCATCTATTCTTCAAAAACAACATGAAGTGTCTAAATTAACAATAGAAGACCACTAGAGAATAATGTATGGAGCAGGGATGGGCAACTTGGATGGTGGTGGGGGCCACATAATTTATGTACTGGCCACCAGGGGGCCGCAGATTCACTTGGAACACACACACACACACACACACACACAAATTCTATATTGTATGTAATTATTAACAAATATACCAAGTCTGACATCTTCTTTGACATTTTTCAATCTTTCAGGGAACATCCTCTAACAAGCTCACTAAACAAATATCAGTTCACATAAATGTTATTTAATTTTTACAAGTGGCATGTTTGTATTGAACAGGTTATTTAACAGTGGAATGAAACTATTTTAAACTATTGGAAAGCACGGAAAATGCGCGTGCATTAAGATTAAACATTAAGATGACATAAACATGAAGTCATGAACACTAACCCAGACATTAGTTGTCTAACTTGAACCTAAGACACTTGTAGCCTCTGCTGACGCCCAATAAGGGGAATGTCAACACCGGTCAACTCTTGCTCTGGAGGCTCGACTACATGAGACGTTGAAATATCGCGGGACAAAGACGCCGGCATCCTTGAGAGCACATTTTTCATCATTGTTCCACAATGTTTATCATCATGAAATTAATATCTATATATTTTAAACGACATGCACTGCTTACCGTTTTCATACTTTATATATCTTAGCATATTCATACACACTGTTAATACTGTTCATACTGCTCATAGGCTACTGTGTATATCTAGTGTATTCATACCCCTCACTGTTTATTCATCATTCAATTCATTCTATATTTTATTCTGTAGATTGTGTACATTACTTTTCACTTTACTGCTTTCTGCACTCCTGGTTAGAAGCTAAACTGCATTTTGTTGTCTCAGTACCTGTAATCTGTGCAATAACAATAAAGTTGAATCTAATCTTGAGCAGGAACAAATGTATTTACTTAGTACATATCTGACATTAACGATTATCCACATGTGTGCATTCTTTATAAATGCAAACTGGTCAAGACCACTGACGGAAGTAGTTTTGAAAAGTAATAAGTGGTTCTGTCTTTTACATGTAGGATTCAACCCGCCTTGTATTGATTTGTTTTAAAATGAACAGACACTTGAGTCATTAATTTGCACTGATATAATTATTCTGGGATTTCTATTGCATCCACTTCATCTGCAACGAAGAACGCCAGCGCAATTTCCGCCATTACAAATCGAGTCAAGCCGACTCCGAGCTGTCCGACTTCAGGCGAGCTTTTTGAGACCTCCCCCAGCTGCAATCGGCTATTCTCGTCTACTTTCGAGGCGAGCCACAGCTCATCTCAAACAAGCCTATTGACTAACATTGGGAAAGACATGTCTGTAAATCGTTGGATAATTTATTTTTTAACTAAATGAACATTTGTATAGCCCTTATTAAAAACATTCGGTCCTCAAGTTGTAAAATGTGCTAATAACGTTATTCTCAGAGTTATTTTCCTCTGCATTATGAACGTGGATCCAACCCACGGGACCGCGCCGCCCGGCACGTTCATGTGACGTGTTCAGTACTACATGAGTTTTACCTTTACCCATGGATGCACAATAAGAACGGATTATATGATATGAATACTTTCGTGACGTTTCGCTCTCTCAAAAGTTAGGCCATTTTGTCCTCATGCGCCAATGAGCAACTCTCATAGGAATGAACGAGGCCCCGCCTCCCACGCTGTATCCAGTTCTTATTATACATCCCCATGATTGCAACAGGTATGAAACAAAAGAAGGTAATTATTATCATGATTAATTGAGTTTTACACTGGGGAATTTGTTAGGAAAGACATCATAGGAATGGTATCATAGTATACCAATAATATCTGTGAATCATTGACCTGAAGAAGAGCGGTCCTTTTGACATTGCACCACAGTAAAATGATGTCTGAAGTGGCCTATTTCAGAATACTATATATTTCAAAACTGTATTGTAATTAAATTTGTTTGCAGTTGTAAACGCTCATTTTTTATTATTTAGAAAGGCCTTCTTTCACAACAACAGGAAAGAGAATGGATTAGCTGGTAGGGTGTGCAGGAAATGACATAATCCAGTAGAACGTCAAAGGAAAGTGTGTATTATGTGATTTAATCCTAAAAAGTCAGACGATGAATTTACCCGATAATGATTTAATTTAAGTTAAGTCACAGTCATATTTTAAGGGCGTTTTGCCACAGGTGCGTTCTTAAAGGTAGGGTAGGTAAGTTTGAGAAACCGGCTCGAGATCGCTAGAATTTGAAAATACACAACCAGAGAAAATCTGCCACTTCCTTATAGAGCCCCTCCTCCAACACACACGAACGCGCACATGACCAATGAGGGCACGAGATAAGTTTGTGCACAGATGGAAGGCTGACAGGCAGGTAGGCCATCCAGTTATTTTAGCCGGGCCGGCTCAAATGATTGGTCGTGCTTTTTACAGTACTACAGCTTCCACAGATGACATTTTTTTATGGATTTTTTGTCAAAGCACTTCAGATATTCATTGCTATCGGGATGTTAAGAGCATTCCATGGAATATAACAAAAAGTGTATCTCGAGCCGGTTTCTCAAACTTACCTACCCTACCTTTAAATTCAAATGATAGGAGACACTGAGAAATACTTTTAGATATCTTCATTGTTCATCCGTCTTCATAAGTCTCTACTGTGTTCTGTGCATACAGATCCATTAGGGAAACAAACATCAAGAACAGTGCAGAGAACCTCAACGCGCGGATCAATAAAGTTGCACCAGACATCAAAACATGGACGCCCAAACCAGGCAGTGTGCTGGACCTCGGCCTCGCTCTGAGAGACCCCACTAACAGGTTGACAACGCTTTACTGTGTGTGTGTGTGTGTGTGTGTGTGTGTGTGTGTGTGTGTGTGTGTGTGTGTGTGTGTGTGTGTGTGTGTGTGTGTGTGTGTGTGTGTGTGTGTGTGTGTGTGTGTGTGTGTGTGTGTATAACAACACATTATTCCAAAAGCAAAACCCATTAACATGATTCTTGTTTTTAAATGAATGTCCTAAGGCCCTGACACACCAGGTTGAAATCGGCCGTTTTCGTTAGTCGGACGACGAAGCTTGCCCTGTCACCCAAACTCAATTTGGTGTGTCCCGCATGGCCGATTCAACATGTTGAATCGGCCATGCGTCGGCCACAGGCAGTCGGACAAAGAAATCACTCTGATTGGCTGTTCAGCTAGCGAATGAGAAACGAAACGGAAGTGAGGGACGTAAACAAACGATTTAAGAAGGCACACACACAGACGGTTATTCATTTTCATCTCATTGGTTTATTTGTCACCAATGCGATCTGGAATGAAGGAAACGAAGACCTGCTCATCACCTTGATCCAGGAGAGGCCAGCTCTGTATGACATTACAGAGAAAAAGTACTCAAACCGAGTAGTGAAAACGGGACTCTGGCGAGAGATTGAATCTCAACTTGGTTTCTCAGGTAAGATTCTCTTTTTTCATCAATTGAGCTCTTTAGCAGAAACTGTTGGTTTTTTATTGTTTGCCAGCGTACGTGAAATGTAATTTGTTATTTCAACCTTGTGTTTTGTTGTTATCTTGTTGCTAGCTGTTGCTACTTGTTTGGCACTGCATATAGATATGAATTGGACATGCTAACTAGCCACAATGCTTACATCGTTTATTTGTGTGCTTCAGAGAAAGAGCTGAGGAAGAAGTGGGATTCTCTGCGAACCCAGTACACCCGGTACAGGAAACTTGCCCCTTCGGGTAGTTGTGGAGCACAAAGGACTGACAGACAGCAGTGGATCCTGACCAGGCTGCAGTTTTTAGAGCCCTACACAAAAAGGAAGGATAGTACTTCAAACCTCACCATCACGGTAACTATTTTATTTGTTGAGTACAAATAAGTGTTTCTTGCTTCTTTCATTTACAAAAACATTATTTTCATTCATTTGGTGGTTACAGTGGTACATATAACAATAACAGAATAATATATATATTATTGTATTATAATTATTGATGTGCTCATCACCTTAATGTTGCAGCTGGTAAAGGAGGAGCTCATTTAAATTACATTATATACTGCTGGGTAGCTTATTAAATTCACGGGATCAATAACGCTTTTATCTTAACCTATAATAATACATGATAAAATATGTCTTGATTATATTTTGTAGTGTTCTGAATCTTCTAGAAGTACGTTTTAGCATCTGAATAGAGCCATCACAATGTGTCTACAATGTGCCTCTCACACTTGACCACACCCCGAACTAATGGCACACACATTTCAGGGTATTGGTTTGTTATGAATGCTTAGTAAACAGTTTTAAGAAGCCATGGTATTAAATCCAACAAACTGTGAATTTATCACACCACTTTATCACACCACTTTGATGCTGAGCCCTGCACTCCCCTGGCAGAATCCACCATCTGCACCACACGGGCACCGCTCAGAGAGAGGCCAAGCACACTCAGCACTCGAAGGCCTCCGGCGAAGCGCAGGATGATGCAGGATTCGCAGGAGGAGTCCGCCGTTGAGGCATCAAAAACATTGCTGGAGGAGATAAAAATAAGTCTGGCACAGTTGGCCCGAGTGGACTTGATGACGTAATCGCGGCCCATTCCAAAGTGTTTGAGCACAGACTGCGGCTGTTGCCACCTCATCAGATTAGACGCTTCCTGAATCAGGTGGAAAATACCTTCTTCGAGTACTTAGAGGAAAATGAAACCTCTAGACATTTCACTTGTCTTGTCTTCACATGTGACTCGTTTTTTTGTACATATAGTTCACTCATTTTTAAAGATGTGGCTAATTCTTTTTACAGACAGTTGTGGCAATAAACATTTTTTTCTGTATTGCAAAGTATTTTTATTGTATTGTATTTTTGTTGATTGATTACTTTTTGTATTATTATTGTTTATTTTGATAATAAACCACTTTTTACCGATACTGCAAAATGCAAAACTTTATTTCGTACCTTCATACATTCAATTTAGCAAGAAGTGGCCATTATTCAGATGGGTGTTTCTGCAGGATAGGCAATGCAAAACCTTATTTTGTACCTTCATACTACAGCCATTAGATAACACCACATA